ATATATATATATATATATATATATATATATATATATATCGTTTTGCGAAATAATATCTATAAAATAAGAAAGTACGTACGTTAAAAAGTAGAACGACGATTGCAGGTGCTTCGAATATCCATTTTTTCATCGTCTCTTCTTTTCTTCTCTTTGTTCGATCATTTTCATCGGTTCTTTTCTTTTCGGAAAAAGGAAAGAAGAGGGCATTGAGAGGAGAGGAGCGCGTCAAGGCGATTAAAACGAGGAGGAGGAGGAGGAGGAGGAGAAGAAGAAGAAGAAGCGTGGATGAACCGCGAGAACGGGTTCGTTTCGTCGAAACAAGAAATCTCTCGACTCGTTTTCCTTTCAGCTTCGTTGCGTATAATAGCAGAAAGGTAGAAGAATGCGTTCTTTTATCAGCGAAATCATTTCGTTTCGTTCGCGGAATCCGAATGAAATCTTTGTGCCAGGAAGTAAGCAACAAGACGGTGGCCTCTTCCTTCCAAACGAGCAAGTCGGTGAGATAAAGCAGGAAAAATTTCTCCAGTCTCAAACGGATGGTATTCCTGCGAATTTGCATTGGATTCAAAAGAAGTAGCATTTACATTGTTAAAGACGTACGTATCCATCCATCCTCTTATACGAAATTATTAAATCGAGAAAGTTATATAGGAATTTTCACGTTTAATTTTCTCAGAAACGAGTCTGATTTCTTTTTTTTTATCGCGCTACGATAAAAGTTTCATCAGAAATCGTCTCGTGTTTAACACGATACAACGAAATTTCCACTACACCAATTACAATTTCATCATCGTTCTACACTCAAACGTTCGTCCCCAACGTTCTAAAAATTCCAATCTCGAAAAGTAGAAGCGAAAAATTGCAAAACTTCCATCTCAAAAAGTTACATATCGTTGTAATTCTTCTCCACAACGTAGTTAAGATTTAATTACCTCCCCTCTCCGTGTTCTCGATCCGATGCAACTGTTCATTATCGAACAACTCGAGCCCCGCACGGGGAGGGAGGAAACGAGGCCTCCTTGCCCCAGAACGTGCACTCGCATTCGTAGAGCCGAATAGAAAGGAGAGAACCTCGTTGCCCGCCCCGAGCCTTAATTACCACTGCCGCTCTTTTCGCCCCGCTCCTCCCCCTCCTTCTTTGCTTCCGTGACAATTATTATTACGCGGCGGTGCTACAACTTGGCCGTACATGCGCGAACACCGACTGTTACATACATCTCTGCTGTACAACGCAGCCCAATCTGGAGAACGCATGGAGAATGGCACCCCGGTGAAAACTTGAGAAACTTTCGGTCTCGAGTCGTTCGAGGCGCACCTGCCGCTATTCCGGACAACTATTCTCTCTCTCTCTTCTTCTACGGATAATTTCGCGAAAATATTCGAAAAATTTTATCATGGTTGAGCACGTACGCGATGCAGCTTCGTAATAAAGAAAAAAAAAAAAAAAGATCAAACTTTATTAAATTAAGGAATCTGGCCGCTTTCGAGAGAGGCGCACGTGTCTTCGAAGAAATTAATTTATTAATAAACGATATTCGTAATAAGATTTTCCGATGCCTTATCTATCGATCGGGTTTCATATCGATTCGATTAAATCGATCGTTAACTAGCGTTGACTCGGAACGAATATCGTAATTCTTCTTGAATTCTTAAAGAATGTTGAAAAGATAAAGCGAAATGTTTTTCCTATATCTCGTAGTTGAAGGCATCGCGTTATTATATATACCGATCTCTCTTTCTTTCCCGTTTCAAATTCACCCCTTATCTTTTATTAATTGAACGAGGACGAGATCCCCAATCGCGAGGAGTGATTTTCAATCAACTCGTGATGTTACTCGATTTTCAGATGTTCAACCGGTTGTAATCGTTCAATTTACAGCGTGGGATGGACGGGGAAGCCTCGCGAGGCCGATAATTGGGGAGGTGTAGCTCGGCCGCGAATCGAACGTGAATAATCACGAGGATGGAAGTTGATCATCTTCGCGTGAAATCACAAGGTTGGACACGTGACGGCCTAGCCTCGTTTTCGTTTCGTCGTCGTCGTTGGCGCATTAGCGCCGGCGCAACTGGCCCATCAATATTAATAAGCCTGCGACTGGACACCGGACGAACACCAGACAGAGACGGACCGATCGAATCGACCAATTTGCCGAAGGATCTCTCCTCTTCCCCCCCGGAGTAGAATTCCACTTTGCATACTGGAAACGAGAAATTTTTCTCACTTGCAAAAGTTTAATTATTTAATCCGACCATTTCCATCTAATCTGTCCATCCTCGACAGCTCCATCCGTCCGTCCATCCTCGAGTTATGAGTTATAGCTTTAAATAAATCTACGCTCTCTTCACTTTTCCCTATTTTCCCAGAGAAAAATAATATCATCCTATCGGATTCGTATCAATTGCAAATCACCCGTTAATTTCCATCCGAAGGTAAGACGAAACGGTCGAAGCGTGGCCGAGAGCGATCGTATCGTGGCAGGCAAATTAGACTTTACACGAAATCACGAGGTGGAACACGCGACGGTGGCTCGACGAGACGAGACCGCACCAGTCCCTTGGCGCGTTAAGTCCTGCCTCGCTTGCTCCATCAATATTAATAAGATCCGAGCATCCATGGCATACCCAAGGAGGAGGAGGAGGAGCGAGCGATTTGCCTGTCGGTCGGCTGTCCGACGAGCTTTTTTTCGTTTCATCTTTCGGGGAATTATCTATCGTTGAAGCAAGTCGAGGCTGGAATGTCACATTTTTTTGGGAGAAGTAACGGTTCGAAGGGGTGTATGTATGGGAGGAGTCCCATAATAAACGCAAGGAGGTGGATAAGTTTGGCGAAAAGAACCGATACTCGTTCGAATTATCCCCTCGAGCTATTTTCCAAAGGCGCTCTTAATAATAATTTTCCTCCACGAGTTTCTTAGTCGCGCGTTTAATTTATCTTGAAGTTTATCGGGTTATCGACAGGTTTATGCGAGGCTTGATTGGCGCAACTTTTAAAACTCGGCAAAGGATAACGATTGTTGCTCGCCGTAGAATTTTCGTTTTATCCCTTGAATTATTATTCATCTCACTCTCTCCTCCTTTGCGTTTGCAAACGTAATTTTTTCGAACGGAGAAAATCAAATTCTCCTCCTCGAGAAGAACTTAAACTGTCGGTTGAAACAATACTGTAAAGAGCGACACTGGAAGCGAAGCGAAAAATCAATCCTCCCGTCGCTTCATTCCATCCCCTGCATTCCATTCAAATTAATATATCGCCAGGTGAACGGATTTGAAACGGCATTGAAGATTAAGATTGTAAATAAGTAGAGCTGTAAGTGGGGGAGAGGAGATGGAAAAAAATGTAGGATTTCCCGTGGAAAAGTTCGGTATAATAATTCATAAGCGAAACTGTAAGAGATGAAAAGACCGCGAGAGTTTCAGCATCAGGGTTCGAGAACAGGCCTCGACAAAGTGGCGCATCACCGGTACGAAATTAGCTTACGGATTCGCGATAAGCTGCTTACGTCCCGACCGAGGGATAATCCTTGGTCTTCGATTCTTGATCGTCTGCTCTCTCTCTCTCTCTCTCTCTCTCTCTCTTCCTCTTCGTTTCAAGAGCACCACCAGGAATAACAGAATCGCGCAGCTTTAATCGGCAAGGAATTATTATTTCAGGCCAATGACCAACCCCGCCAATTCGGTTTCGACTATTCTGGGCGCAGCTGCCGGCGAGCAGATGCGCGTATCGTTGTTCATAAATCACGATATCGCGAACCGTTTTTATCAATCTCGCTCGTCAATGTTACGGCTCGCCTTCTTCGAAACGTTTATTCCCATCGATCACGATATCGCGAAACATCGTCTCCATTACGCGAAAGCGTAATTATAATCGTCGTGTCGACGATGGTCAATAGAATAGAATATCGTAGTGGATATCGCGTTCGTTTTCCATGAAAACGAATAATTTTAACAATTCGACGAAGAGAAACGAACGATCCCTCAGAGATCGCGAAATATTACGCGTAAAACTGTAGAAATTTATACACATCGTTCGTGTACGAATTATTTCTCTACTAGTTTTAAATTCACTAGCTACTTGTCGCGCGAACACTCTCTACGCTCGACACGAATTGGGATTTAAACGGTCCGGTCGATTCGATCCGAGATAAGTCGGAGGAAACGGAGGAAAGGAAGATGGAGGCCGTCGGTGAATTAGTTAATGGAATTGGAGGGAGATAAGGCAGCACTCACCTCTTTCCCTTTGATATCTCTGTATCGGACCCACTTGCCCAGACGCGGTCGCCAGTACTCGAGGAGATACGCCTCTGCATACTCGACACCGAGACCGTTCCCGAACCGACCTTGCGTCGCGGTAGCAGTGATCAAGTGAACCGTGTGAAGGTCGATCTCCAACCATTCTCGGGCTTCTTGGGTGATCTGATTCTTGGGGCACCAAGCGCCGCCGAGATTCTCCGCTTTTAACCTGGAACAAGAATCGTTTTCACCGTTTTTTCCCCTCTTTTTCTTTTTCTTCGATTCGATCCTCGCCGCAACTTGACTTATTTTTTAATTCCGTCGATTCGACCGATCTATGTAGAATAGATTCGCGTGTCAATTATATTATACAATACTTGGAATTTAACGAAGAAGTTCAACGAACGAAAAGATACAAAATTTTCCAACTGTTGCGAATTTTATTTTCATTTCTTTCTTTTCCTTTTTTTCAAATGTATTTCGTACCGTATTTATTTTTATTTTTCAACAGTGAACAGATATATCGATCTTCGCGACCGTCCAACACGGGGGTTTATTCGAATCAATGCAGCGATCCGCGACATTCGGATATCGATTAACAACAACGCTATACGGAACTAAAGCGACCCGTGATACTTTTTCAAAGGTTCGTTTCACGGTGAAAAAGTTTCACGTCGAGAGAGTAAATTTTATACCGCTCAGAGTGAATAACTCTTCCATTAACCAACAATATATGTATACGTATCCTCGAAATCAATTTTCTTACACCGAATTATTCCACCTACTCTCGAACCTATCCTTCCTTTTCTCACCTCCTCCTTTCTACATTTCTATCTTTGCTCAGAGCTTTGTTCTGATAATATTTTCTCGAACCCCCCCCCTCTTTGTCCTTGTATCCCATCCTCGCGACCGTTCTCATCGTTTCTCGGATCAACGAGAAAAGTTGTGCAAACGGAAAAGAAAAGGGTTGTTAAAGAAAACGTGTATATATATATATATATATATATATATATATATATATATATAGAGGAGGAGGGAGGGGTAGGTAGTACGTA